TTATGTATCTGATCTGATGTAATCCTATACCCAAAATTGTATATAAGGCTTGCTTTTGCTATGTGAACTCAGAAATCCATTTTGTGATTTCTCCGACGCGTCGCTAATAAAAATACCTCCTGCTTAATTGACTTAAGCTGAGTCTGATTAGGCAGTCACTCTGCCTGTTTGGGGCAAAATTTGGCATCATGGGATTGAAAGAGTTAAGAGTGCTTTTTAGAAAGCCTTAGTCCTGTCAGGGATACCATATAATCTTTAAAATTAAACATAGCCAGCCTGGGTTCACTCAGGTAAAGGCCTAAAAATCCATACATACAACTAGTGACATTTTAGTGGTACTCTGCAAAATTGCATAAGGAACTGAGTACAGGATAATGAGGGAAACTCATGCATTAAGTAAGCAAATATCATTTTAGCCTCTGACTTGATTAAAAACAAAAGGAAGAGTACTGGGATTTCTCTCATCTGTACATCAGAAGACGAATCAAATGATGGAGCCCATGTGTGAAAAAAGTCCCACAGCCAGAAGAAGGCTGTCTGGCTGGTCTGTGCTTTCAACAGCAGTGATTAAATACAGGAATTATCCTCCTGCCTCAGCCACGGCATGCCCATCCCAGCACAGTGCCCCCAGTGAAATATGCATGCCTAGCACACAGGGATTGCTGGTTTCACAGAGAGAGCATGGTTATGTTTCATGAACTGAGGGGATATACAAACCTGCTGGGCCTTTTCTGTCCCGGATATGGGGCATAAAGGAGCAGCAGTTGTAGGTGGCAAGCCTCTCAAGCATGGCAGCTCAGGAAAAAATCAGATCCTGCTTCTGCTGGGTCAGATTGGGTCATGGGACATAGCTGGACCAGCTTGCCACCAGGAAAATGGAACTACAGCCAGAGGGAAGAAAGTCACTTCCCTCTTCTCATCAGTATCTGTCTGCTCTTCAGTGATCCTGCTGCAACCTTCCATGGAAGTATTGCTAAAAGCCTGGCTCACAGGGAATCCAAAGCCAAGGTTAGAGGCAGCTCCATATCGGCCTGTCCCATTGGATGAACAAGCAGGGGACAGCCGAGATTTAAGCCCTCCTTGATGTGAGGCAATGCTTAGAAGATAAAGGCCCACAGGTTGTTGACCGGGATTCCCACTGTCATCAGCATCCTGATGTGGAGGGAATGGCTGGGGTAGAGAAGAGGATGCCTAAAGATTTTTGGCTTTTTATAAATTTTTTATCTATTTGTACTTTTTTAGATTTTCATATATATAGCTGTATAGTTTTTAACCCTTTCTTACACTTTAGAGATTACCCTTTCTCATACATTTATGCCATCTTCTTGAAATTCTGTTTAGTCTTATTTTCCAGAAAAGAATTTCTAACAAGGGCACCCAGGTTTGCACCACCATTTAGGAGACATAACAAAAGATGGCATGAGGAACTCCTCAGAGTCTTTCTAATAGGGCAGGTCCAAGGGTGGTTAAGTCACCAGGACAACCAATCTTCTATTCGATGTACCTGCTAGATGTACTATTTAATTAAATTTATTAAAAGCGTGGAAATCCAATAATGTGCTTGCTCATACACAGCTATGTTTTGTGCACTTGAAAGCTTTCATTAAAGAGCTGCTCATTATGTTATTACCACTTTAATATTTTTTTGAAAGCTTTTCTTTTGATGCCAGGCAACAGGGAGCTGCCTGGACAATGTGCCTTAATCATGGGTTTCTCATTGCCCCTGGGAGGCAATACTGAAGCAGAAGAGGAAACCGGATTTTAACACATAACATGCTTTGGAACTTAGGAAATCAGTTGTAGATGATAGGATAGATAGATAGATAGATAGATAGATAGATAGATAGATAGATAGATAGATAGATAGATTTACTCCTAGTCTTGCCTGGTGATAAAAGCAGCATCATATTATAAAGCAGATGGTGGGCACTGAAATTCTCTGAAAGCTGTTATTTATAACAAATTGTCAGCATGCCCCGGAGAATCTCACTTCCAATACATGTTGTGCCACTTTCCTCTGTTTCTGGAAACGGCAGAACATTTGCCTTCCACTGTGCAGCAAAGTTCATTTGAGGATAGGAAACACCAAGTGCCAAGGAGTTTATTCTGCCAAATAATATTAGAGAGCACAGTTTAAACTGAGAATTCCCATCTGCATGAAGCACACAAGAGAAGCAGTGGCACAGACAAAACTGTCAGTCTGCTTTCACATGGTAGGACTGAGGCCAATATAGACAGTAAGAAACTGCTTGTTAAAAAAAGGAAAAAAAACCAACAAAATAAACACTTCTCTATGTTTAATCTATTGCAGCTGGAACAGAGCTGATTTATGATCCTTCAGCATCATTGTTGTGTGTGGTCGTTAGAGATACCAGGACGTGGCAGAATGTTGGTGCTGGCAATCAGAACATGCCTTTAAAATTGTAGGAGAGATTTTAGAGTCTCTCAGTCCTAGATATTTACACATTAAGGACTTTAAAAACACAGTTGCATGTCTCAAAAATACTGCCAAGGCCACAGAAGGAATGTGCCATAAGATAAACCACCACAGCTGGAACTTAAGATAAAAAATTATGACAGAAAGGTACTAATTCCAGGCCTAGGGAAGTGAAATCAGGTTATCACATTATGACTAACATATCTGGACAAAAATTCCCAGTGTGGCAAACTGTGAGAAAGGAAGCAACTGTCATGCACATGCCACACCAAATTATGAGAACAGCATCTGCTACTACCCCACAGATACTCGAATTCCGGATACTGGAATGTAAAAAGGTGAAAAATCCCCAGTAGAACAGTTTTTGGATACCCACAACTGGGAAGCCAAAGGTGAAGAAGAACCAGTGGGATGCCCCTGGATCCGTGGGTGCTGGGTGTCTTCAGCTTGATCTCTCTGTCTTTCTCTCTACCCATCTCCACCCACATTGACCTCTCTTCTATAAATTTTTATGTCTCTACCTCACATTTAGAGTTAAATAAAGTCCATATCCTCAGCTCATTCTATTATTCTGCGATATTCTTTATTTCAATGTATGGTCTTATTTGTACTTTTATTCAGGCAATGGCATCTCTCACTATTCAGATCACAACAACCAGCTCACCAGGCTTACCAGCTTTTGGGGAAAATATTGTTAGTGTATTAAATATGGTTCCTTTAAACAAGTGAGTGTGACTTGCAGACTTTCTAAAACTATCTTTTATCCAAAATATCTGGACCCATGGCTCTATCTGCAGAGCAGTTCTCAGGTATAAAAAAAAAGGTATAATAAAAAAGAATTTTTAAAATATCACACTTACTTTCAGCTAGCAAGAAATTAATCCCATGCTAATTTCAGTGAAATATTGCTACATATTTTCACACTGTAAGGATCAGACTATTACTTTACATAAATTATGGTTTAGATTGATATCTTTCCAGAGGTTATTTGTGTTTTGCTCAAGAACTGGCCTTCATACTTTGAGAACTTATGAAATTATTTTAGAATATTTTGTTTCCTATAATAATTATTACATAACTTTTTATCTATCTTGAACTATTTTTTCCAGATCTTAAAAAATTATTTTTGCTTATATATGTTTCAAAATCCAAGGGTCATTCCCTATCAGTTATGTAACCTAATTGTCCCAGTCTTCTGTTACCCACTTCTCTCTCTTTTGGATAGCTCATTGCATGATAATAGCTTTTAGTTTGTGGATCAATCACTTGAGATAGCTATGTGTACCATTTTGACGTTAGAAAGTTCAATACTTTAAAATTATAATTTTGATGGGTAAAATTGGTATTGATTTAAAACTATTGGCTCTAAGAATTATGGATATAACTCTTATAACTGTTATAAGCTAACTGATGTAATATTTTGAGAAAACTAGTTATAACTATTATTGACAGCAAATTACAAAATGGATTTTTTCTTATCTATTTCCAAGAAAGAGACAGAAAAAATGTTCTTGGTCTATTTTTTTATTAAGTTCTTCACAATGGATTAAGAATGTGAAATATTAAATGCTCTCCACAACAATGGAGAGCTGGCAAGGACACAGACAAAGGACTCAAATGCTAAGTACTGAACATTATTTACTGAACATATCGTTAGTTGTGTAGGATGCAATGTACACATCTAAGAATGGATCAAAGTGGAAAATCAACCACAGGTATTGGAAATTCTCTTTCCTTTTGCAATTTCCAAACTAAATCAACAATAATTTGGAAAATTTACATACCTGTGATGTTAAGAGCAGAGGCTATTATGTAAAAATGCACAAAACATTTCAACACAAAGTCAATGACCAAAACAATCCTCAAAGTGTATAATACTATTCTTCATTATTATTTTACTAACACACCACCAGATGTGATTCATAACTTTCTATGACTATGCACTACAAGTGAGATGTTACATCTCAAAAGAAAGGAAAATATTCTGATGTCATATACTAGCTCTTTTCTTTAAATTTTCATGCTAAGCAGAATAAAATAGTCAGACATCTGAAGTGCAGATCAGTACATTCCGCTGTTCCCCAGACACCGAGGGAGATTATATTTGTTCCTACATTGAATTATTATTAATGCCAAATATCTTTCAGGTTTTTATGCTTCTAATAATGTAAGTGCAAGCAAATACTCCACAGAGAATGTTTACACCCAAATATGATATTGGAAGTGTTTTGCATCCTAACATTAGCAACATTTCCATGTTGTACTGAAAAATAAAAATGTCACAAAATAGAGTTTTTAAATGCCTTTACTTTTAAGTACCAAAGAATGAAAATAAATATCTCATTTTCAATCACAAAACAACATCTAGCTTTGCTATTGTTATTCATATTGGCTATTACATGCTCATCTCTACATATGTATGTTATGAGAACACATTGATTATTAAAAACCAGTACAGCATACAGATCTAACAGAAAGCTCCCCCAAACAATTTCAGCGGGAGATTCTTTGCTGTGTCTCTCTTCCACTCACAATGTAAAGCAACCCCACAGAATGAAATACTAAAACCACTAATAATGAGAAAGCCTTCAGCATCCTCAGAAAATTTTCACTCCTGACAGAGCAAGGAATCATTATTAAGGTCTCTATATGCGATGTAAACATCCCTCTACATTTTAGGAAACAAGACTGCACGGTTCTTACAACTCTGATTTACTCCAACACCTCTTGAAAAACTCCCCAAGCTCTAACATATCTTTAAACTCAATTTCTTCACTTTTTCTATGAAAAATCATATATTTTCTGAGGAATATCCAGAGTTTTCTTATTATGAAATGCTAACAACCAATGAACTAAAATGTCTGTGTAAATCAATATTTCAAGATAGATCAAGCCCAGCTGGTAGGAAAAAGCTCATTAGGAAAAAGCTTCTTAAAAGCATGAAAGTATTGCCATACTGGGTTTCATGCTTAGCTTCAGTAAGAAAACTGGCAACCTTTTGTTTCTGGGCTAGAGACATATGCAGTTTAAAAACAAATCCCATTAGAAAAATTACCAGTTAATAAACAGTTCGAATTGCTATATTTGTTCCACGAGTCTGAAGTTCATACATGAGGAGAAAGGTGAAACAACTTGCAGTGCACTTATCTGTACTCTCTCTGACTTAAAATAAAAGACTCACAGCACCCCAGTTGCAGATACATCTAGTATCTGCTCATGGAAGCAGTACAACAACCAAGTATAAACTGAACTTTCTTTTATTTAATCCTTCCAAGCTCTGGCAATTGATTTAAAGACTGCTTGAGCTGGAAGTTGGATCACTGTGGTTTATGGGGATACACAGACTATGCTGAGGGGTTTTGTAAGCCTTTTTTGAACAAAATCCACAATTTAATTAGATGGAGGTTGTTTTGTGATGTCACAGACTTGTTTTATACAAGGATGTGGTTAAGATTTTTCTACTTCACTAAATGAATCTCTGTTTTACAGAAGGTCCTCAACGGAATTACATGTATTTTTTTGGAAGACAGTAAGTTGATTAATTTTGTTGCTATTAAGCTTGTGAGTCTTAAAATAATTATTAAGATCAATGTTCTGAAAAAAGAAATAATATCAGAATAAAGAAATCAACCTATCTTATTGAATTAGGTAACATCAACTTGCCCCTGGGTTTATAGCTATCCTGTGCTTCCACAAGACCTGTCAGGAAAATAACCTGTTCCACCTCAGACTACATAGAGACCAATACAGGTATCCAGTCATAAATTCACAGACAAGATTATGCAGTACATACTTTTATACAATGTTAAATGTCTCTATACTACTAGGGTATTTAGGAGAAATTACTCAATAATTGTCTTATCTCTATTCCCCAAATATCTTTTCCTGCACAGGAGATACTCCTTTGCCACTTTGATTTTTAACATGTATTTCTAGTCTTCAAGAATGTGATGAGACTATTACTAGCTGAAAGTGGTAGTGTAATAGGAGTTAAATTTTCTTCATAGTTACAGATGAACCACTGCTTTTCTTTTTCTTTTTTAACCCTTTTACAGAGACTTTAGATGGAATCATGCCGATTTCTCTAGTTTTGGTCCTAGTTTCCCCATGTACAATCTGAAATCTTATGCTTTGGCTAAGCATATTTGAGATGCAGAGGACAAGATACATGCAAGGTTTACCTGACTTTCATAGGCTTTATATAAAGCTGTGCTTTCAGTGAAATGTCCTTCTTTGGAAAAGGAAAAGATATTAGGGACAAAATTTCAAGCTTTTAAAAAAGTCAGCTGAATACAAATTGTTTTCCACTATTCTAACAAGTATCCCCAATAAAAATCTGTAGCAATTTATTGATACAGACAACACATTTTCACAATGCCTTCAAATGCAAGAAGACATATGCCACGTTTTCTTCTGATGCTCCCATACTGCAGAAAACTGAAGCACATGGGCCTCTTCTACGCACATGAAGATTTATGACAAACATAGCAAGGTTCTGCTCTTACAGGAGGGTGGTAGGTTTAGGACCACACTTCTATCCTTCAGTGTTTTCTTATATGTTCTTAAGGCTCCTTATCTGTACATGGGAGGGCCCCTAGGCATTCCTGGCTGCATCCCTGGGAGGCAAGGATTTCCAGGTGGATAGCCTGGCATTCTAGGCCCTCTGGGCCCGGGTGGCCTTGTCACAGCTATGGATGGCGGAGGAAGGTTTCCTCCTCGGCTCTGTGGAGGATAGTGGCCATTCAGAACAGGGCCAGGATGCTGAGAGGAGCTGGTTTCTTGTGGCTGGCCTGTCTTTGATCCGTTGCCATCCTGTCCTTTCTTGTTGTCTGAAATATGTTTGGAGGACAGAATTAACAAATGATCATGCAAATCCGAAGTTCCCTGACAGGGAAATTCAGCAGCTGCCTGACTATCCTAGATTGCAGTAGAAAGTCTGGGCTTCCCCTACCCAATTCTGGGCTAATGCTCCTTCATGACCTTTGTGCTGTATTTTCCATCCATTTTTTCTGCAAGGCTCCCATGTGGGCATGTGGGCAATTTGTCAAAATGCACTTCGTCTATCAATGAAGGCAGTAGTTACACATGGCTCTTCCAAAGACAATCATCTCTCACCTGGGTTTCCCTCCTAGGCTTGACGCTGTTTGGTGGCTGTAGGGCATGTGTGCATGAAGAGGGAAAAGAAACAGCCAGCAAAATCCCTCAGGACAGACTGACACCTACCTGCCCCAGCCAGGCTTTCTGATAAGAGTTGCTTAATATGTTCTTACCATACCTTCTCCAGGTGAACCTGGCACTGGTGATAAATACTTTCCTACATAGTTCTGCATCGACAAAACACAACAGAAATGTAGAAGATGTAGACTTTGACTGGTGTGTGATAGATAAGAAGGATCACTGGCACTTAGACCAGGCTTTTTTTAGCAGGATTGTGATTTTCAGTTCAATATAGTTCAGCTTTTTACTTTAATGTTGCTAAGTACGGAATCATGTTGCAGTATTTCTTAAACAAGCCAAAGAAAGAAATAGGCTAATACTTGGGGTTCAGTATCATGAAGGTGTTTCAGGAGATTATAGCAAAGGATCACACATGCATGAATTACTCATTATGAGACATTCAGACCAATTCTTACCATTGTTTGGAGTGGACTCATCTTGCTTGTCTCCTTTAGGCTTTGCTGGTGGCGGTTCAGTCTCAAAAGGATTTTCCTCTTGTTCATTTGATTTTTGTGCTTTTTGTTTATTTCTTCTTTTATTTTCTTCTGCTTGCTAATGATAGGGAGAAAGATGGCATTTTTCAGTGACCCCAACAGTCTCTCTAGTATTTAGTAAAATACAAAGAAATAGTAATTCTCTATTCTTACACTTTGTAACTTCTTTTTAAGTTCCAAGTTAGCTTCCTTGTAGGATTTGGATGTTGCGTTGAGATAATAAAGGCTCAGGCTACATTTAAAAAATAATAGTTTCTTGTTAGACAATGATTTAATTAGAAAGACTGAGAACATTCCTTTAGCAAACATTACAGTTGTGATAATATAAGGCCTGTATCTTTTTCTCATTTATTATGCTTAATCAATACTAGTATTTTGAACTATAATGAACAATGTGCTTCTTTACATTATTCCTTCTTCAGAAGGCACTGTTATTTCAGGGGGGAAAATGAAAGAAATTATTCTATCCATTAATATTCTACATTTAATCTTACAGTATTTAAGAAATATGTTTCATTAAGTAGTGTTTAACTCTGAAATTACTTCTATAGAATACCTTACAAAAGTTAACTAAGTCTCATGACATACCTTAAAAATAAGCAAATCATATTTATGAAAACTCCTCAGCAAATATAGTAAACAATTCTAAATACTGTCAAGAAAACAACCAAAATCACATTCCTTTTGTTTTTTCCAGTTATTACTTGCTTCTTCTTCTAAGAAAAAACATAATATTTTCATTTTTCAGCATATAGAATTATTATTGTGACTACTTTATGAAATTAGCAGTTTTCACTATTCTGATTTAATAAGAAAACATCTGCTATGAAGCCTTAATTGACATAAGTAAATAATTAATCAGCACATGCTGTTTCCTCTGCTTTGCCTGATTTTGCCTTGTATTTTTCCTCTTTCTTTTCTTTCTTCGGTTTATTTTTGGTGTCCTTACCCTTTACAGCTAAGGGTTAAAATAGAATATGGCATCAAGCGAACCTTTACAAAATTTCATCTCAATATTTTATATTGCTCATATAAAATCCTTTTGTAATTTATATTGTGTTCTGTAATGTCTACATTTACTTGCAACTCTGCAATGCAAAGTTAAATCCCAGTGTATCTTTGTATAGAATTAAATTTTAGTTCAGCAGTATGCTAAATACCCAATATAATAACCCTATCAAGCAAGTTAAATGCCATGATAAAATAGAACTCAATAAAATCTCCAAGAGCAAATATTCCAGGGCCATTTTCTTTACCAATTACTGAATTATTCACAAAAACCTCTACTAGCCTTGTTTCAAAGTCTCCAAAACTCTGTCTCACGTCCCTGTCCTAATAATATAGAGTACAGTGTTTATCAATTAAAGGCACTGAAGATCAGGTTCACTGAAAGTTACTGAGAATAACTTTGCTCCATGATGTTCATATTTCTATTGAAATTGCTAAGGATTTACAATGGGCTGTTCTGCATTCTGGACAAGATGATCAATGTCACAGCATTACAAATTCCCTATGGGCCTTTTGCATTTTAATAGTTTTCTATCTTTTGTGGTATTTTATTTTTTAAAAGCATAACTAAACAAAAAAACACCATTGAACAAAAAAGAGGTATCAATCTTTCTGCAAATGCACACTAAGTATGTTCAAAGAAAAGACTCGTGAAGTGTTCAAGTCTCTCATCACTGCACAATTAGCACTGCATTTCTTAGATATTCAGGCAGTGATGATTCAGAGAGAAAGAAACTTATCAGACCTTAGACACAGCAAGCACTGAGTTAATATTCTGTACGTACACCATCAGCAATATAAAGGGTAGGATAAGTCCAGGGTTAGAGGCATAACCAAATACCTTCCCAAACCAGGAAGGAAAGTCATGCTCCAGAGTTTCTGAAATGACTTCATACATTCTAGTCTTCCCACTATTAAACAGAAAAGTTGACAATATCATATACAATTATTATGGCAACCATGAATATATAAGCTAATCATGTCACATCAAACCTGGAAAAAGGATAATATAAGGTATGTTAACATTATTTAAACTTTACACTCTGGAGGGAATATTGTTTAAAGTAGTACTTATGTATTCTATGGGAGAAAAATTACACCAAAATTCTTATTGTATGCTAATAGATTTTGCCAGGTTGCCACCCAAATTATTCCTCAGTGAATCAGTGTATGAGTTGTGAGCTCCATACCACCAACCAATGAACAAAGCATTATTTGTGCTCTATGAAGACATGGGGGAAAACATTCAAATCCTGGTTTTTATGTTTGACAAGCAAAAAGTGGTCTGCAATTATTTTTTTTCCACCCAATTCTCCTCTCTCTTTGATGTGTGACCAATGCTACACAAGTCAGTGGCTGTGTTTCAGGATATTTTTGCTGCTGTTGCAGCAATCTAGTTACCTTCATATGTAATTGTTCCAGCTTATATATAAAGTTATTTTCTCCTTAGATGATTTTCCTTCTGAAGTGTATCAATAGATGTTCTGAAAATCCCCTTCTGCTTATTTTGCCTTTTTCTATGCCTCAGGGCACAGAAGTTTGTCATTTTTAACCTGGACAAGACTGGTAGAATGGGTCTCTGTGTATCAATTCTAATTAGTAGTTTTACTTAGTTGTAGGAATTGTCACCAAATTGCCATGTGACTGTCCAGTCATTGAAGTTTTCTGTCACTGCTTTTCAGTCTGGTAAAGATTTTCTTACAAATGGGTCTTTTTCTAAACTCATTTTCAATGTTTACATTCTTTCAATTAATATTAAAATTTTGCAGGTGAAATTCTTCTCTTCTTTCTCTTTATTTGCCCTACCCACTTACAGTAGATGAGAAATTCCATTCTCAGCTGTCCTCATGCTCTTCAGCATGCACAAAGCTTTTTCTGCTGCTCTGTTGCTAATTCTGTCCTTTCTTCCCTACCCCTGACAGCTCTCTGTTGAATTGTGTATGTTGCTTTAATGAATGGACTGTAATTTAAAAAAAAACCCAAACCAAAACTAAACCCTGAATGATTCACAAATTTCAAAAAGGATGGGACACTGAGTTACCATCAGGAAAATGTTTTGATTTTTAAATGTAGAAGAACGCTCTACCAGTATTTATTCACTGTCTATTCCACTGTAGCATTACCTATACTGAGGCTGAATGAACCTTCATCAGTTTCAAGTGCTCCTCATCAAAAGTTATATTGAAGATTCCACTTTTTGATGAAGAATATGACAGAGAAAAAGTGGCAAGAATTATTCTTCTAATTTTGACGAGTAATCTCACCATTTAGTTAATACCCAATTCAATACCTACTGCTACTGAGATCTGACCTCAAATATTTCCTTCAATATATTTTTGTTAGGACTCAGTAAAAGTCTTAATGTGTATCTCTTATTTTGTTGTAAATTTTTCTCTAAATTCAAACAATTTTCTGTGTCATCAGAATTTTTGTCATGTCTTATGGTTCTCTCTTTTATCTACCTCTGACTATTACAATGACAATCTCTGTTATTCTGCCTTTCACCAAATTTAATGTGGTGAGACTTCTGCTCCTTTACCAAGTGCACTGGGGATCACACAGATGTCATTTTAAAACAGTAATGTATTATTTAAACCTTTCCTTTGCAACCAGAATGCCTCTTTTACAGTTCTCCCACTCTTGCTGTGTTAATATTTTGTTCAAAAAATAAAGGCAAAAGATTTTTAAAATTTTTAATTTCTTGTCTTGTCTGTTGTCAAGTGAGACAACTCATTATAAATTTATCTCATGCTACCAGGCAAGTAAAGATGATTCAAATGATCCTAGACTTTCCAGGTACTGTGCACAGAAGGAGAAAGTGTGGCAAAATCTAAACTACCTTGAATTCAAGATGTGTCTGCAGGGCACGCCTAGATGTTTAGAAAAGATCCATGACTATGGGGGCCTTGAAGACTTCAGAAACAAATTCAGCTTTCACAGTGGTAGTACAGACTCATTAAATTCAGGAGAGAGGCAAGGCAAAGACTGAACCTCTGTATATTTATCACACTCTCAGACATTCCGATCTGCCCTTCATACAGGGCATACAGACATTTCCTGAAAGCTATCTCTTTCAAACACAACAGGTCACTGCTCTACTCCATAAGAGTAATTTTTCTTCATTGCAGCAGTAACTTTTTTTTCATTGAAATTGACGAAAAGAAAAGCTTTTCTGTTCTACACCTCAGATAAAACTTGCTAAAGAATACGTCAGTTTTCCAAGATTCCTGCTTTGGGAGTTTTCCTCAATGAGAAATGCATCTCAATTAAACACTCAGCATATCAGGTGCTAATGCTTATTATAGAGGCACTTTTTCATTACTGCGTCATTTACTGTGATGTGTGGAAGCAGGTCATTACAACAATTGCAAAAGATGGAGGTAAAATGCAAAGAACCTGAAAGGACCACAGTCAAAAGATGGTGGGATGGAGACAATGGTGTACACAGCAGGCAGTGTGGAGAGAAAAAGGATGAAAAGCAGCATGGCCATGTAGAAGTTATTGGATCTGGAAGCCTTGAAGACTCTTTCCTGGGGGACATTACAGCACATCACTGCCCAGCACTGCAGATACATCGACGTGTGGAGGCGGAACACATTGATTGCTGGGAGACATGGAGCATAAAAAGATCCCATCCTAGAAGAGAAGCAAATAAATAAAATAACCACTATTTATAGGACTTCTGTCTTTCCAAGTATGCCACAGATTCCCTCTGTCAATGTGCTTTGCACACTGTGCACTTAGAAATTCATATAGCCAACTTTATGGAGTTTTTTAAAACTGTCCTTTTCTCTTTTTTTAAAAAGGTTGAATGAGTACCAAGAGGATTATCTCTATGAACTTTGTTTCAAAGTTCTCTTTCTCTGCAAATTAATTGAGGACTTGGTGAAATGTTATTCACTTTTACTTTTTCCAGGTAGCATCTTGCTTGTGTTGTGTCAAAAAAGGATAGCCTTTTTTTAAAAACTAGGTATGACCAATTCCTACAACTTGGTATAAACAAAATTATTTCATTCGTAATTTATTATTTTTATTGATATACCAGCACTTTTTTTTTAAGGATATTTTTTTGCTTAATTGACATTTATTTTAGCTGCTCTTGCTGGGGAAATTTAGTGCTTCATGCCAACAATCTGTTTATTGACTGTGTTAAATATGGGGTTTTTTCCTTATTATATATGGTTACATGGTTATGACACCAAAATATTTGACACCTTTTTATTTCATCACACCTTGTTTCTTATGTCATGCTGACTGAAGAGCATCTAAATTAATTTTCCTGGCCAAATAGTACAGAATACAAGAGATTGGGAACCTGCTTCTTCCTTAGTCCTTGGTCTTGTGATGAGGTGACAAGGTGAGCAAGCTAAGATGTTTTGCCCCTGAGTGCCTCAGACATTCTATTTGGAAACAGGAAATATATTTACATTAGGGTTGGAAAGACCTTCTGAGTACAGAAGAATGACAGGCTTTGTTATATTAATGTATCCTCTCCCTCTTTTCATGTATCTTAAATGAAAAGATAAGGGGCTTTACTGAAGGGATGGCTTTTACCACACAAAAGTCTGATCAGCCAAGTTATATTAAATGTAAAAAATTAGGCCTTAGCATGAACTGTGAAGTCAAATGCTTGCAGAGAACAGTTCCTGAGGAAGACTGAGCATGTTGCATGAGGACGCTACATGCTGGTGTTCTTTACCAGTCATGTAAAGTCCAAAAATAGAATGAAAATCTACACCTTTCCTCATCTACATCTGAGGAGCAATGCTGCAGCAGTAGCATTTTTTAGATTCATGTGACTGCACAGATAAGTATAAATACATTTGCTTTAAGGCCTTTTTGCATAGGAACAGGGGAAAAGAATGGTAAGGTTCACTGCAAGGCTAAATTTCAAAGCAAAACACTACATCAAGCAGTCAGTGACCAAAAGCGTAAATTTAATCTATGCAGATTTTTACTGGTTGGTCTTATCGACTCAGTGCAAAATCCTGATATATGTGGTCCAATAATCTCAGTCCATAACTAGTTTTGAATTGTTCCAGCTGATTGCAATGTACCAGAATTTGGTATATATTGCATATGCTTCCATCAGATTAAAGAAATGGGATAGGGTCCGGATTTCAGAAAAATTCTTCACAGATACAGATAAATTCCTCTATCCTGCAGATACAACATGCTTTGCCACACCTACCAGATCATGCCTTGGTTAAAGATCAGTCCCAGCACGTTGCCACTTATATCAAACTCAGAGTATGATGGCTGAAAAAAATTATACAAATGTTTTCATTAGGTTTGCGCAAAGTGTTTTGAAATGAGTTAGAGCAGATGAAGACTGTCATTTTGAGGAGTAGCGCCACACTGGCATCATGGTGCAAGGCTTCCTGTTGCATCTTATCAGTGAATCATGAAATAAATTATATAACTCAAGGCTACAAGTTAGTCTCTAATATAGTTTGCAGCATTTTACTGAAAATCTTTCCAACATTTGTTCAGAGGCAGGTGTTAATGGAAAAATCAGAATCATTCTGGGTACTGGGTAAATTTTAAAGCAACAATTCAGAAAATTTCCATTGGAGTGGCCTCTGGTTGTCAAAATACTTTGTCCTCCAGTACAGCAGCAGCAGTGAAATTTCATGTGATGAATGTGATTTAATTGATTTAATACCCAATTGAACTCTGGCACTATGTTTCTTTTCTTTTCATATTCCAGCAATTGCATTTCAGTTTTCCTTTTAACATTGATAGAGGTTGCCAATCATTTTCTTTTATGGATAACTTATTTCTAGTTTGAGTATTTGATTCTAATTCTTCCTTTAGGATTCAGAACTTTAAGAACTTTATGGGGTCTCATTATCTCTTTCTTTGCTGAAGAAAGCCCTGTATCATACATGTATGATAGTGTATTAATAGTGTATAAATAGTGTATTTATGTTCCACTATGGACACATAAATACCACAAAAATTGTTTAGTCTTTTATTTCTGAACTAGTAATTTGACCCTTCATTCTGGTTTCTCAAATCTTTAATCACTTACTAATCTTTCTTCTACCTTAATTATTTATTTCTTATTTATTAAAATTTCGAGCTGTAAACACTGGATACACTGAATTTAAGCAACGATTGAAGGGCAACAGATCTTATTCTGTGTCCATATGCACCAGATCAAAACTTCCTGCTAAGAAATTGATGGCTTTCAATGTTTTGTTTTTACCTGTCTGTTTCAAATATATTATTTATCTATTTATAAATATTATTTACATATTTATACATGGTAACAGGTGTCTTGCATGATTCATCACAATGATGGACAAAAAGACCATGAATAATACATATATTCCAGTTAATCATTATATTGATAACTGATAGAAGGTAAGAGGGGCATGAGATGCAAAAATAACAATTCCCTTACAGCTGAAACAAGACAAAGTCATTCTACTGAAGTCTTCAATTAAAGCCACAATTTTGACTTGTACTGTGCTGTGCTGTTGGAATATCTGAAGTTTCTGCACTTTTTCTGTGCACTTTTATGCATATACACATATATATATGTTTACAGTGAGATGATATATTTATGTCACGTGTATTTATGAATCTGCTAACATAAGGGAAACAATTAAAGAGATTACTAGTATTACACTTGAAAAGCAGTTGACTAAAGAGATCTTGATAGGTTAGAATATCAAACAAAACATGGAGATATTAATAAGATCATAGAGAATCAAATAATGTATGACTACTTTTTTAACATAGGTGCTAGCATTAACAGATTAAATAATTTGAAATCCAACTTTTAAACAAATAAAAATAAGGTCTTCCCACACAACATGCAAGTTGATCTCTGGAATTCTTCACCGAAGGACATCTTGATCATCAAAAATACTTTTCTTGTAGCAAAAGGCTTAAAATTAAAGGATATATATCCATGGCCACTAACCACAGAGACACAGGTATAGCTACTTCCTAAGGAAGATTTTCAAATGAGCTAGTTTCCAGAAATTAAGTGATTTCCAGTTTCAACTTCCACTTCCAGCTGTTGTTTCAGGCAGCTTACTGGACCTGGGGACCACAATGGACCAGAACGTTACAGACATTCCTATATACTGCCAAACAAAAATGCCAATTATAAAATGGTTTCAGGATCCCCTACAAGCAGATATGTTGTTGCCAATTTTTCTGTTCATGCTAGATTCAAACTCTTTCCATTTCATTTTGATATTGCAACAGTTATTACCTGTTTGACTACAACCTGACTAACTGGTAGTCTTTGTATGCATCCCCACACTAGTCCCGCTGGAAGGTAAAACATAAAAATAATGCTGAAATTTCATGGGAGTCAGCAAGAATGAGATTGCTGCACCAGAAGCAAGAGTTTTTTAACAGAAAACATGACAACTTTCACTTCCTCTGGAAAACTGGGATTTCCCAAGATGCAATTCCTAGCAATGTGAGAAATTTTTACATGTGTGAAGATAAAATTCTGACAAAAGAAGGTGAAAATTACAACTATGACTGCTTATGTAGAGATACCCTTGATAGTCTTAAATTATGTAGCCTTTTTCTGTACTTCACAGTAAGTACAAAACAGGCTCCAGGAGTTTCACAAGCTCTGACAATACCATGACTATTACTTAAAAGATTAAAAACAGCATCAGACCCTGAAAGCATAAGTAGCTGACAAATTTAACTTGGATCAAGTCAGTGTGAGACGGCAAGTCTCAACTCCCATGTGAAGAGTTCTATGCCTGCTTATGTTATGGGCCTTACTAATTTTACATCAGCTAAACTAATTCTAATGAAATACAGATATATCTATGTATCTATATGTATATATATCTATCCATATAATAATACTTCTGGAACAGGATCTTTCATATTTTTCTCCACAAGAACTATGTGCTTTAAGACCCTATCCAATGAATGAGATTATATCCTGTGAAATATTCAAATAGTATATGTGTGGGAAAATGTGTGTTCTTACAAAGAAAATAAAATTTGCTCTTATAAAATAAAATAAATTACAGAAGTCCTAAAGTTACCAAAGTCTAAAGAAGAAGAAAAATATTAAGACATAAGCAAAATGCAAAAAAAACAAACACCGTGTAGTTCAGGGATTTTGAAGTTGGTGTATCTAACAAAAGTTAACTGTATAGCATTGAAAGGAAAATGAACTTTGTTACTAAATTGTGAAGTGATGAATAGCAAAGACATTTAAAATCAAATACTTACAAATCCGTACTCCAAATCCCAGCACCAGCAATAATTGAAAAACCTAACAAAGACAGCTCTCAAAAAATCGCCGATTAGAATTGTGATGTATGTTGTCATCATGTCAGAGACTGTCAAGCGCACAAATTCCTGTTAGAGCAATATTCTCTTTTAAAAATACATTTAAGCAATTAATAATTACAATAATAATTAAATACTGTAATAGATCTTTAATTGTGTTTATCCTGCTCCAACATGGACAAAACTCTTGACTTTCCTGCATTCACTGATTCTGTAATGTGCTAGAACTACTGCCCCTCATTTTCTAGAGTGATTAAACTGCTTTTGACCTCTTTGAGAAGATTAAAAATGAAAAAAAAAAGTGAATGGCTTCTTTCTCAAAGAGTTTCAATGTCCAGTGGATATGGAGAGAAAGCAAGAAAATCCAAATGCAAATCCTCATATGAGCCTCTAATTTTATTTTAGGCTTTTTATATTTCACTAAAACCTCCTGTAACAGGCCTTACCCCGACAGCCCAGAAAGCTATTACTCTCCCTGATATGAAAATAAGGGTAAAATTGTTTCAGTTATGAGCATTTGGTGTTTTTATCTTCTTATTCAGCATCATTAAAAATAGAGGGGCTGATTTTTCTGCCTATATGGTCCCTGCTAGAGATTTATTCATTTAGGAGGAAAGATTGTCAGAGTGGTAGAGAAAAAACAAAATTTATTCAATATTGAGTTTGTTGTCATGGACAAATCAACAGCAATGTTGTAGGATCAAACAGAGGAAAAGGGTAGGTTAGAAAACTGTTTGGAAACCACATTTTAGATTAGTGGGTCAATAAGAATGACTGTCAAACTCAATCCAACAAAATATTTGAGCAGATTTTCCGCTAAACTTTTATTGTCCTTTGGCATTATTATATTTGGCTAAAGACATAGATGTCTTCTCAAAAGCATGCTGTTGTAAGAGCTGTCTTACATACATGTCCCTTTTGAGTTACTCCTTTATTTTTTCAAAATTAGTAGACAAGCAAAGCAAAGATGGCATCAGGAAGATGAAAAGAAATTCGGGGATAGAGGAAAGGAGAGGGAAAAAATAAATGCTTGCCATTCTATCAACTAACAGAAGAAAAAATTTCCTCTTAGAGAGGATTCAAAGAAAATAAAATATTTTTTTAAAGAACTTTTAGTTCAACAGAAAGTCCCGCATCTGCTTCTCCTCACATTGTCTGACTTGTTAGCCAAAATAAAGAGGATTTAGATATCATATCCTGTAAGAGACTGTATGATCTATTTTCAAATCTGAGCTGCAAGCAGCTACATTACCTGTCCTACCATTGTTTCCCAACATGGTCCTCTGGGGACATCAGCAGGATCCACCTGTATTGGAGGAGCAGTTGAATTCTCTGGAATAGTACCATTGTACAGACTGGCTTCCCATATTGTCATGTTGTATTTGACTATCTTTTCTTCTTCCAGCTAAGTAAAGAAATAAATTGGGGGGAAAGAATCAACATGAGCTTGTTACCAACCCTCAAGATTGTCTATCCCAAAATTCCCATTGCTAACTTAGGTAAATGTAATTTGCAGAACAGAAATAAAAGAATGCCTTTCACTGATGTGTCTGTGGCTGACTGGAGTGCTTCAGTGTTGCCCAGCGACCTGTCAAACATAGTGAAGAGAAGAAAATATCTTGCCTTGAGGTTTATTTCATCCATTAGGGCAATAATGAAAGTGTAGAGATTGCCAAGGAAAAGAGCAAAGATTCTTCCCAGCTGCCATCTTAGAGCTATTCGAGGGTGGTAATTTTCCAGAGAACTGATTACATCAAATAAAGTTGGACAGAACATTCCTAAAAGTGACATAACCGTGTTCACCTGAGGAGGGGGAAAAAAGTTTACAATAAAATGTTAGAGACAAATTATTCTATTAATTCTGATTTGGGTAAAAAATACATTTCCATTACTACTTTTTATTTGGTATTCAATTTAATAAAAACCAAAATCCACTCTTAGTATCACAAGTTGATGAAATCCACACACAGTCCCAGTCTGCCTCTTTCCACTAATTCCCTATTCCATGACTCACTAGACAATTGTATCTGAACTGTGTTCTGACAGAACTAGGAACTGCTGATATGGAGAGGGAGATAAAAAAATTTACAACATTAAAGAGAGAGAATGGGAGTCAGAGAGAAAAATGTCTTTTCCACAAATTCATCAGCATCCCGCTATTTTGCTTTGAACTTCAGGAGCACATGGCAAAAAATATATTTACCCAGGATTTCTCCATCACCTATAAACTGTGTTCAATTCATTAATGATTCTAGTGTAATGAAATTTTCTACAAAAGCAGATTAATACTTTCATGAAGAATTTAAAATTTTAGAGCTTACTTCTTCCTTGTACATAGGAACTGCACTTTTTTTAAACTTAAAATTGTACATTAGGTGTTGGGGCTTTTTTCTGATCAAATCCTCAATTCATATATTAATGACGCAAACATAGGAAAATTCGATCTATAGAATAAGAAAAATGTGTGAATTTCACCCAGAAGTGAAATATATTTATGCAATTAAATATTATATCCAATCAAGGACAATGTTTTGTACTTACAAATATGTTAATTACCTGTCAATAGGAAAAATTTTTAGCCAAATAATGTCAGTATTGTTTTATCCACTCTGCTTTAGAGACACTGCTCCAGATCTTAGTTCTGTCACCTTAGAAGCATATTTTTATTACAGAAACAAAAGCAAAACTACGAGCATAAAGAAAAATGTTACCTACTTCCCAGATTACAGCATAAACAAATATATAACAGCCTTTGGTAGCCCAGTTCCTGTTAGTACAAATCTGTTACCACACCTTTAAACTGAGAGAAAGCTGAATTCCTCCAAGCTCTATTGTCTCAGAGCTTGTGCTGCCTTAAATCAAGTTTTGTACACAATTTTTTCTTTCCTATCAAAATAAAATGTGATAACAACTAAATTAATTCACTCTCAACAGTCCTATTTCTCTGGATTCCAGAAGTGGATTATTTGATATTTTAATGTTACTTTCACAGTCAGGCTTTGGTGTTGAAAATTCTGGATTGATTCTCCTTGTTCCATCATCACCCATCTCACCAGCTTTGTGAGGGTAACACCTTTTTGCCTTACTTTAAGTCAGGAATGCACTTTACACTCCAGCTCAGAAGATAATCTTGAAGTAACAAACTAATTTTACAATTTTACACAGTAGTATTTTTGCTAACAAAGTAAAACCTTCCCAGGCTTTCAAACAGCACGTTGCTGTAGCAAATAAAATCACCATCTACACTATATACCCCTATCAGGCAGGGTGCATCTGCTTTTGAGGAAAGCATTAGGCACAGAAAAAAATTGCATGGGACACTAGGACAGGGCAAGTGGAACTGGGAGGCATTAGCTTCAGCCTGTTGCTACACTGCGGAGTTGTATCCATGAAGTTCCAAATAACTTTCTCTGTGCCCACAGATCAATCAGTCCATTTGGGCCAGTCTCAGGAGAAAGGCAAGAAGAGAGTGGGTTCCTTGAAGAGACCTCATGAATCCATAAAGTGTCTGGAAGACAATCCTAAGAGCACCGAGGAGGAAATATAAAGGCCTCAAATGAGCTAAAGCTAAATACTGAGGGATATTTGAAAGAAGTGAAGTAGAAATTTTATGGAAGCAGAGAGACTTAAGCAATTCTTATGTTAGACATTTCCCACCCACAGAGAGTATTTAAACTACTGGGGGAAAAAAGGCAACATGCAAAGCAGAAGAACACAATTTCAAACCACATCTATTATAGAAATAACACGAACTTCATTTCTTTCCCACCACCCGTAGTTCTCCAGACCTTCCAAGGCAAATTGCTGGGATCTTCTGACAACAAAAAAGATGAGGTAGCCACTTCCAGCAAGTGTGCATAGGGCTAAGAAGTTGGCAAGAACCCTTAAGAATCGAGTCAAATGAATATTTTCTTCTTTTCGGCTCTCCTGCTCCTCCACAATTGCTTCCTGCACTTGTTAGAAAGAAAAGAATATCATCAATACTTTATTGGTCAAGGCCCCACACGGCTTCAATTGTTAGAAGTCAGTTAAATAAATTACAAATATGCTAATGGACATCTGGGCTTCATGTTTTGAGATGAATGTGTATTGTCTCATAAAATCCTGTTCAGGTCCTGGAAGATTCTGGAGTTTTGCCTGGGTTTCCTTTGCTCCTGTTGAGTGTGCCCACAATGAGTCTTGTTACACTTGTACTTTTACATGGTGTCAAAAAACCTAGCACATTCTTTCAGCTTGCAAAGTGAAATGAGGTTGAGTGATACAGCAGGATAAATGTCTGTCAGAAAAGGAAATGACATGTTTTTGAAATGCACATTTGTGAGAAAAGAGGAAAATGTTTTACTCTGAAAGTCAGCAACTCAGAAAGAATGAAAAGATGTGGGAATCCCCCAAAAAATTGGACAATGCAGAGCTTCAGACTGCAAAACAAAATGTTTGCCCCACATTTACCCTTGATCATAAGTGATAAATATTAAGACTCTAAGGCAACTATAATCTCCAGTTTTTAATCTTGCCAGGTGAAAGAGCTTTTTGTCTGGAGTGTCCTCATGAAAGGAAGTTTTGTTACAGCTTCTGACTTCGTTTAGAGATCTGTTGCTCAGAGGGGAAGCTGATTGGCACTGTAATAATTGCCTTTCATGGCCATGCTCCTTTTACAGCATGTGTTTGTCACATAAATGACAGGAGACTGCAACAGCTTTCAAAGAAAACTCCCATGACCTCACCCAAGCCAAGATTTCATCCTTTCTCTCTGAGGTTCCTTGCTTGTTTGCAACAATTACAGTAAATCTTCATGAGTTTATTTCTCAAAATTAAGCCTTTTTCTCGACAGATTCGTATTCTTTCCCAAATAGCTTTCAGCATCTGCTCTAATTTGGCAGGCAGGCAAGCTCAAGATTCGGCACTTTCAATGAGTATTTCTCCTGTAATTGTTTTCTTGGAATCTTCTCTCGATGGCTTACACTTGAGGGCAGTTCTCTGCTATGCCTGCAGCTGAGGGGGCAGGCAGGGTGAAGGGGATGCGCTGGCTGTGGCACTACTGTGGACAGGAAGAGTGCAGCTGAGCAGAGCAGCCAGTGCTGCAGTGTCACAATTGTCAGTGCGAGCCTGGCACCTTCTTCATTGTCTCACAACACTACACCTGTTGTTCCCTGTACATTAGATTGAAAATTAAATCTTCTTTTGCATGCTACACTGGTGTGCCCCAGCCACCCCACAGTACAAACACATTCAATAGCATTCAATGTATAGAATATATCCCCTCCACTGTTTTCACAGCCCTGCATCTTACATCTTGCCCCAGATTCCTTACACAACTACTCTTGAAATCAATATACCCTATACACCTGGAAAGAGGCCTAAGAATATTGCATTGCATATTGGACTATATTTTATAATTAATTTAAAACTAAGACTTTTTTACCTAAAAGCAAGTAGAAACTCAAAATTCTGAGGTCAGTTCTTCTGATAAATAGCCCTATACAGATTATTCTATTATTTGTCTTATATCTCTTCTCTGTAACAAGAGAAGTTGACAATGTGAGGTTCCCAAAAGGGGAGCAACATTTTGAAAAAAGTTTTTCAGACAAACCTGATTCACACCAGTGTGAAAGCCAAATTGTATTGCCTCTCCTTAGTAAACTCTGTTTTACCTTAAAGCTTGTTGTGATGGAGGCAAACTTATTATCCGCTGTCTCAGGATTGCCAATCAGGTAGTCCCAGCTTGTGAACATTTTCCAGCTGAAATTAAAACTAGTATCATCCCCACCACCATCATCATTTGCATTCTTTGCCATTCTACACAAAACACAAAGACACAGGAAGACCTTGTTAGCACTAGTTCTGCTTTGTGGACATGACTTTTAAATGATTCCTAATTTCTAACTTTTTTCCTGGAAAAACTCTATGTCATTCTTACTGTCAGTTATGCTTTACTAAATCTTTTTTTTTTAAACAAGTGAGCAATATGGAGATTTTCATGTTTAGACACTTTATGAGCTCACCACGACCATTTTGATGAGAAAGAAAGAATGTATTTCATTAACCTTTCAGAGAAACTCTGCTGGATAAGAAGCTTAATAAAAAAACAATATTGAGAATATCTCTTGAATAGAAAGGTGCAGAGCATCCTGAATTGCAATAGACTTTATCAGAGAGTTCGCAAATGGAAAAAGAAGAAAAATGCACTAAGCAAAATATTCTAAAAAAATAAAATCAATGCATGAATAAAGAAAAACATATAACAAAGAATATAAGAAATATTCTAAAATAACAAGACAGAGGAAAAAGTGGTTTTAACATATAAAATAGCACTCAAGCAATGATCTTCCCTATCATCTCCTATGCATTTATTAGAATATTTATTACAGTGTCCAGAAACATCAGATTATTTCTTCAGAGAAGTATTTCTCAAGATTAAACTTAATCTTGTCTTCAAAGCTCTCTGTTTTAAGGGAGTTTCATTAATGTAAAAACCATAGAATTTCTTTGCATACTTTGTCACCTAATTCTAGAAGTCATTAAACACAAGGAAAGAGTGTGCTGATAAGATACACATAACTTAGTCGTCAGTGTTTCTGGTCAGGAAAATGTAATACTTTTATAAATTATAATTATAAATATTAAATCCTAATAATCCACCACAGCTATGCTATTAATAATAATGATTTCTATGTACTACATTGTACATATAGTGCATTATTATTATTATCATTGTTATTATTAATAATATGTATTTTATTATTTATTATTTATTAATTTGTTAATAGTAATTAATTAATTAATAGTTAATTCTATATTATTAATATTAATACTACTATGTATAATAATACTGCTATGTGCTACTATGTACTACTGAACTTTTTAAAGTTCAGTAAAATACATGCTCTGAAATCTAGATTGAGAATAGTAAGTAAATACAGAAAATCTTTCTGAGATGCCAAGAATCAGTACCAAGGTTGGTCTTACCCATGAGAGTCAGATATCACAAAAGGTTCTTGATAAAGTCTGCCCTGCTTCTGATTTATAGGCTATGGCATTTCCTTCTCAAGAGTTTCTAATGAAATTTTGAACATTGTGGTAAGAATATAATTTCTTTGCAATCACAAATGTTTCAGTTTTATGTTATACACTACAAGAGTTGAAGAGTGGAGCCCTACATCTAAATATTTGCCCTAAATAAAATAATAGTGCTTATAGTCCTCACTATCTCTTTCACATAAACCTTTCTCTGTTCTCAGTCAACAGCAGAGAAATGATACCACCTCCTGCTACATTGCTTTTAGTTTCTGTCCTCACTGTGCTTATTTCTGGAGAAACAGAAAAGAGCAGAAGATGACAAGAACTCTCATATGACTAACTAAATATTGGTCATTATTAGTGCCATATGGCCAGATGGAAAATTAGCACATACAATGTATTTTTTTTCTTAAGGATATTCCTTTGTTTTGATCTAGGGGATTTTCCTGCTATCAGGAATATTTTTTTGTCTGAGTGAGAGTCATTGAAATAAAATTGTCTGAGACTAAGACTTTTCTAATCTTGGTAGTTGTTTTATTAAAAATATTTAAAAACCAATTTTTGAACGAAATCAATTGCTATTTTATTGTACTAGTTTGTTTCCTCTCCAAAAATACCTATATTGACTGAAGACATTTTTTTTTCTCAAATGATTGTTGTCTTATGCAGGAAGCCAATTTGAAAGTAGAACATGAATTAATCTAGTGCTCATGCAAGTGAAAAATACTGGCTTCAGAACAAAACAATGGAAATACACTAACTGCGTTTTACTCTATGTTTAAAGGTGTCTTTGAGTCTTGAACTGCAAGCTTCTTATTTTTTTCACAACAGGCTTTTTATAAAATCACTGCTAGACTTGTAGTACTGTGTTAGGTGGTCATCTTGCTTGAACCAAGGGTATTAAAGATTATATTAACTGGCAGCACTTACTATGAAGTGTGAGATACATGCAGAATTATTTGCCATATGCTTCTTCCTTGTGTTCTTCCTTCATAAAAGATTTTAACTCACATAAAGTCCCACTGAAGGTAGAATTATGGAATTTCCTGGATTTTAGCTGAAAATCTACTGGATGTCAAGTATTATAAAAAGATTGACTGACAGATCTCTTCCTCACTTTACACATTCATTTTTAGTTTTGAAGCTCAGGAGAAAACTGATTTGTTATTTCAGTAGATATTTATTCACACTTGCATAACACTGTAACAGAACTTCTGGTGCAGAATAGATAAAAGAATAGAGTTTGAACATGTCTTACATAACTTTGACCTTGCACTTGGTCTAGCATTGTCCTGTACTTAGAATTACTGCATTTTTAAAAAAAGTCTCCAGGGTCAACAGTGGAATTACCTGCCTTTTTAAATGTACTTTTTTCCAGAGCCAAGGAGAACTTACGTTCGAGTGACAATCATAAAGCTATAGCCGATAGACCCAACTCCAACAAGGAAATATGAAAGAGGCATCCTGAACTTGAGCCACCCAATTGTCCTCTGGTTATTGTAATAACCATAAAAGAGTACAGAATACTGTGCAAAGCCCTGAAAAGTCAGAAAAGAAATTATAATGTTACTTTGTTATACTTTTATATATAATGCATATAATCAGTAAGTGTGTCAATAGCAATATACTAAAACATTCATTTCAGTGAATTCAAATTAGTTGCAAATATCACTATAATAAAGCTCATAGGATAGGAATACCTTTATTTTAAAAAGACATAGGATATTTCGTAGCAACTTCAAAATCCTTTAGAACTGGTCATTAACAATCCCTCTACAATTTAATGAGTCAAAACTTCATCATCAACTTACTTCTTGTGAAGAAAGAAACACTGTCTTACAAAAGTTGTTTTTCAGATTACTTGCAGATAAAATCCCATCTTTTAAACGTAATTTTCACCTTTCTAAAATTTATTTGCCTGAATTTGAGATGAAAATCTCATATGCCTTCTTTGTCTAATAACAGTTGTCTGCTGTTCATTGGGTGATCATTCAGTATATATGATAACCAACAGGTAGGGGCATTTTATAGGAGATTATTCAGCGTGTAATTATTTTGCACACTTAAACTCGATTCTAGGGCTGTAAAAAATGCAATATTAGTTCACTATCTTTCTGTGTAAATCAAAGTCTCTCTTCTTTTCTAAATATCATAATATGAATTTCCCTCTCTTCTACGAGTCAGACAGATGATTTTTCTAAATTTCAACAGCTCATTATTGACTGTAAAAAATTGCTGATGTCTGCATGGATCAAATAGTTAAATCTTCCTGGTAATTCTCAGGTTAGTGCAAGAACTGATCTCTTAGAAGAAGGCCAAAAGCAGAGCCTTTACCAAGACAGTTCAGTGCATGCACAACAGTGGTAAAACCTCCAGCTGAGTGTAAGAATTCCAAGTGCAATATGTAGTATTTCACCACAAAGTTGGGGGATAAACCATGCATAATTTTGACAGTAATACAGTAATAGGAAGGGTTGGTGAATTAAAAAAAACATTTGCTACCCTTGTTTTTCAGTTGCCTACTTTCCTTAAAATTAGTAACATCTTTCTCTTTTATTTTTTCCAAACAATCACTTGATTTATTGAAGCTTTTCCTATACATGAAATGAGTCTCAGCCTTATTTGAAAATGAATCTCAGGCTTATTTGAAAAACCTAATTCACAGTTCTAAGATGAAAATTAAATATTAATATATGGCACACATAAATATTATTCAAAATATCTTGATCCACATATCTCATTTTTCTTCATCTCTGACTAGATTTGAGAGATGTGCTTATGCATGAGGGATAAAAATATGTTCATCTCTAATAAGGCAAGTATTCTAATGGAGCATATTTCTTGCTAAGTATTAGTAAACCATCTACACCACTCAGGACACATTCAAATTCAATAGTATGTATATTGCATATTTTTGGTCACCTATAGCATCCTATAATTCCATTTTAGCCCAGGTTTCAATACAGCCTAATGCACTCTGGAAAACCTTTTGGATCCCCAAAATCATTAAAATGCCTTTTTAATCTCTGTGTTCTGCAAGTCAGGGGTAATTCCTGCACTGTGTATCATTCAGTTTGTTGATTCCACAGCACTTCAACGTAAGATTAGAAATAACTTCAATTCTGTAGAAGTGTGCATGGAAGATGTCTTTTACTCCTTTCTTGAGCCTAACATAAAAGACTACTGGTGGAATGTGTTACTGCAATAAAACTTGAGTCTCTAATATTTTATGACTGTATTATAATCTGAAAACTAGATGTGCAAATTTCATTCCAAGTAGAATATATCACAATCCAAATGTGCTTCCCTTTGCCATGTCAGTAATGTGAATCGAGCACAAGAGAAAGCAGAATGGGCATGTTGAGCGCATCTTTTCTTGTCTTAGAGAGTGGTATGTCCGTTTATAAACAGATGTCTCTGCCCAAAATAAGGTGACCATAAGAGACCATACTCTGAATTCGACAGCACAGATTTTAGTTAATGGTAAGAGTGAGGGGGAGAGAGACACACGGAGAGAGAAAGAAATGGGAGTGAGAGGGTGTAAGAGACAGAGAGAGAGAGAAAGAGGAATGGAGAGACAGAGAGATTGAGTAGAAAGGTAAAGATATCACTATCACCACATGGAGTCATGTGGCACCCTGCCAGTCCTTTTTCACCCTGGTCTTCTCAGTGAAGGAGTCCCAAGACATTCTTCTGTGGTATCCCCTTTATACAGTCCAAGTTCCAAGTGTCCACGAGTTTCGCATAACTTGGGATGGCATGTGGATAAACACTTGCTTCCTTTCTCACTGTTTGCCACAGTAGGAATTTGTGTCCAGGTGCTAACCAAACCTTTACCTCCCTTAGACCTGGAATTGACTACTGCAGCATCTGTGCTCATCTTGGGTTCCATTATGTTGGCTTTTCTAGTGGGGACAGTGTTTCCTGCTGCATTTTTTAATACCCTTATGTAGGGCTTGGAGTTCTTGGATTTTGTTGGAGTTTTGTTTAGGAGAAAATATTGATCAGTGATGTGTGGTCATTTATTTATAAATTACCTGGTATCATACAAGTGTTGCTAGCAGATGAAAGGTACTATTTCCTGTGATGTTTAAAGTACAGGGATGACAAGACACAGATGTCATTGTCTTCAGGGAGTATTTGACAATCTGACATGCCTCAAGAATTTTTTTTCCCCTCAATCTTTCAGGGGATCCATCTCTTTCATTGCCTAATTCCATGTTTATTATGTTTGCATGTGTTCCTTTTGTTAACTGCTACATTGTTACTTATTGTATTTTCTTCTTCACACCTGTCAGTTATTTCTGACAATTATTAAAAACTTTTCATGCCTTTCCACCGCGCCTTCATCCATCTTCTCTGGAACACATCTATTTTACAAGCTTTGTTCTGATATTCTGTATAAAGCTCTTCTAGCCTATTCTCTCAGCAAAATCTTCAAGTTGCTGTAATTCCTTTTTTGTCCAATATTTCCATGATATTTTTCTTTCTCATTTTATAATTTCAGTATCATTATCTAACTCACTAGCCACATGTTTAGATTTATTTTTACTGTCACTCAAATACACAACCTCTAATGCACAAGATTAAATGAAGTTTTAAGAAGCATTCACAGCAAAATGTTATATACATATGTTTTTAGAAAGATCTTCCAATGCTTTTTTATCCAAGAAGAATCCATCATTGACGTTGTATGCAATCAAAGGGATAAAATATGTGGAGTTCACTATTATTTTTAATGTATTTGCTTTTCTTTTTTCCTAATTCATATTGCATTTTAAAATTCAGAATCTTAATTATATAAAAGCAGAAGACAAAATTCACACTTCAGAAATGGAAACCCATTACCCCAGAATGACAAACCAGCTTTGAGATATTTCCCCACATGTCTTTGGATTGCTACATATACTGAGACATGCTTGCGAATATCAAGATTCATCATGTGTTTGTCTGAAAGAAACCTCAATACAGAGAGATTGTGAAAACAAATATGAAAAATAATTTTCTTGTGAATTATCTCCTGAAATACTTCATATTAAATAACTGAGCATTAAAGAATGAAGTAAGTGTGAATAAAAGTCATGTGGCTATGCAATATTTGAAGATCATGCACTTACACTAAAATCCCAGAGGGTAGCAAAATTCATAGCAGTTGCTTCTTCGGCTCTTGGGACAGTTTTTCTAGGCAAAGAGCCATATGGCTTACCCATCAAAGCCTGAAACCAAAAAATGACAGTCATTTATATTTTAAAGAAAAATAGCAGCAAAGGAAATGGACAGTAAACTTTCATTTCTTTGAAAGACTGGTTTTATGTTCCTAAACTCCCTAATGAGAAAAACCTACTTCTACAATTCCTTTTACTGCTCCTCACATTACTGATTGCAACTGTGCTTAGCATATGCATTCAGGGATGTGTTCTAAATTAAAGGTTCCTCTAGTATCAATGGATTGCTAACAGTGCCTCTTACATTGAAAGGCAAGAGAGAACTGCATCCATATTTGTCTAATGAGTGGTGTTTATCTTACAAAGACCAAAATTTTAATTTTTCTTGCATTATGGATTTTATTGGGATATTTCAAATGAAAAGAATGGGAAGATGTTAGGGAATCAGTTTTTGGATTCTGAAATTTTCCTTCCTTTTGCCAAGATGCTTGTTCAGGCACAGTATATCTCCTCATGAAGTCCTTTCCAGGCTCACCCTGAAAACTATTGGACATTTATTCTGTTTTGACTTCTAAGGAAGATCACAAAATGACAATGCAAGTATATGCTGAGTTGAAGTGGACCCACAAAGATTATCAAGTCCAACTCCTGGCCCTGCAAAAGATCATCTCAAAGAGTCACATCATGTGCCTGAAAGTATTTCCCAAAACCTTATTGAATCCTGTGACACTTGGAGCTGTGACCATTTCTATGGGGAGCCTGTTCCAGTGCCCAGCCATTCTCTGGATGGATCTTTTTCTGATATGTAACCTAAACCTCACCTGACACAACTTCATGCCATTCCCAAGGGCCCTGTCACTGTCACCACAGAGCAGTGCTGCCCCTCCTCTTCCCCTCATGAGGAAGTCGTAGATTGCGATGAAGTCTCACCTTAATCTTTTCTTCTTCAGGCTGAGCTCACCAAGTGACTTCAGCTGCTTCTCATACAGCTTTCCCTGGACGCCCTTCATGATTCTTTGGATACTCTCCAACAGCTCAATGTCTGTTTTATATTATTGCACCCAAAACTGCCCCCAGCACTCGAGGTGAGGCTGCCCCAGAGCAGAGCAGAGCAGGACAATCCCCTCCCTTGCCTGGCTGGCAATGCTGGGCCTGATGCCCCCCAGGACACGCTTGGCCCTCCTGGCTGCCAGGGCACTGCTGGCTCATGTCCAACTTGTCACTGACCAGGATGCCCAGGTCCCTTTTCACGGCACTGATTTTCAGCCTCTCATTCCCCACTCTGACCATGCATGCAGGGTTGCCCCATCCTAGTGCAGAATCTGGCACTTTCACTTGTTGGACTTCACATGGTTGGTGATTTCTCATTTCAGTAATTTGCTGAGATCTCCCTGCAGGGCTTCTCTGCCTTCAAGGGAGTCAACAGGTCTTCTCAGTTTTGGATCATCTGTGAACTTGCTTAGTATCCCTTCTACTCCTGAGTTCATTAAGGAGATGTTGAAGATCAGAGGGCCAAGAATGCAGCCCTGTGGAACCCCACAGGTGACAGGTCACCTGTCTGATGTCACCCCATTCACTATCACCCTTTGTGCCAAACCCCTGAGCCAGTTGCTTACCCACTCCATGATGTGTTTATCCAGCTGTGTGCTGCACACTTTATCCTGGAGGGAAAGACACTATTGAAAGCTTTTCTGAAGTCCAAAAAGAGTGCATCCACTGGCTTCTCTTGATCAACTGGTTAAGTTCCTTTTTCATAAAAGGATCATCATTTTGAAGAACAGGACTTTCCTTTTATGAAGCCATGTTGGCATTGAACAGTCACATTGTTCTTCAGGTGTTTTTCAATACCTCACAGAAAAAAACATCCCCATAACTTTACCAGGCTGAAGTGAGACTGACAGGCCTGTATTTTCAAGGTTCTCCTTCTTGCCCTTCTTGAAAATTGGAACACTTGCCAGCATCCAGTCAGCTAGGACATCTCCTAACTCCCAAAACCACTCATTGAGAGATGTTTTCGCAATGACATCAGATCATGAATCCCATCAAACCCTATAGATTGGTAGAGATCTACCTGGAGGGATTATGCTACTGAAATACTGGGCTGGGAAGTTGTTGGAAATTCCTATCTCTTTCTTATCTGCCCTCTACAAAAAATGAGAAAGATAAGAGGAATATGGGATATTAAAATCTGGGAGATGGCACAATAATTTTACTTCCATAAAAGCCCTGCTTTTAGAAGGGCAAAATGATGGCTCAAAGAAACCATCCTTGAATTTCTTTGGAAGTATTACAAAGAATAGGAAGTATTACATTTCATAGAAGTAATTTATGTCTGATTCCAATATCTGCTCTATGTACCACTCTTAAAAGAGGTGTTGCACAGTGTGAAGTATGAGACGTCTCTCATGACTTTATAACCCTGTTATGCCTTACCAACATGTGAGTGTTACATCTGGAAGGATCCTCTGAGCCTCATGAGGATGCATCTTTCTATTGCAATTCACATTTAGACAAAATTGTCCCCCTGGAGTTTTCTTAGTCTCAGTTCCTCTACTTTGTTATGCACAGAACCATCAAAACCAAACAACCAAACAAAAAACAAACAAACAAACAAACAAACAAACAAATCCACTTCCCCAGACAACAAAGAACCCCCATATCTATGTCATCCCAGACTTCAAAAACCATTTCAGAAGACAACTCTAAATATATTTTTACATTTTCCCATCCTGTTTAATTCAAGACATCTCTCTGTAGAGACAACTGCCCACAAAGGAAGCCCTTTTTTACAGGCTTAGTAAAGTCTAATTCTTGCAAATGGAGCATAAAGAGACTAAAAACATTTTAAAAGCTTCAGACCTATAAAATCTCACTGCAAAGATAGAAACCCTTATGGCAATCCTCAAAGATAATTTAAAAGACTCCCACCTCAGGCACCATTACAAGACCACAGGTCAATCCAAATAGAATCATATTTATTCCATACATCCAACGCAAGAATATGAAATAAGATGCTACTGATGAGCCAAAGTGACCTGTGAAAACATGAGATGAGATTAAAAGGCAGATAAGCTGGTCTTTTGAAGTTATTTTATCTAAGGATGCACAAAACTTATTAAAAAAAAGTAAAATCAAGAGAGGCTTTTACACATTTGATGGATTCACATTTAAATTAATTTAAAATTCTAATTAATTCTAAATTTAATTTATTTTAATTTTTTTCTGTATTACCATACTTCTAATAAATTTTTGCATATTGCATACTTGATGTCCTGAGATGGCTGAAAAAACAAGAACAAAAATATAAAACTGTAGTTAAATAGACTTCCTAGTGTCATATAAAAGCTGTGATGCTTGGTATTATTAAGCAATCTCTAGAAGTATCTTTCAATTTTTATTTTTTTCCTGTCTGATGTGGATTTTAAGCATTCTTGACATGCTCAACCAGAAACAGCCCAGTTTTAATGGGAAGCAGTGCAGAATTAGCCAGCAAGGAAAGTCTTTCCAAGATGATAAAATGCTTGTCAGTGCTGTTATAAGAGTGCTGACCAGATTTTTTTCACTAGAGATTAAAAACATTATCTGCAAGTGTTACTACCCTTTCCTTCTCTTATCTTCTGTTTATGTCCTCCATCTGTAGCCAGATGTGCAGGCAGTCCCATCTCTAGGTGAAGTATTTGACCTGAGACACCCCTGACCCAGACTTGTGCACAGATTACAGGCTGGAGGGGAAGCAGTGAGAACCAAAAGCCTGTTTTACCCATGCTCTGAAAGTCAGGCCAAACAAAAATAAAAGCTCAGATTCAACCCCAGTTTGCTTTAACACAGTTATGCTGACTACAGGAGAGCTGTCAGTTAGAAAAGTACTAGGTTTCAGTTCCATTACTATTCATTTTCACAGGAAAAATTGATCTTTCAATAGGTTTTTCATACGGTCTAGTTTGGCAGCATGGAGCACACTGATAGCAAATGAAAAGTAAACCTCTCTGTTCAGAGACACTTATTTATATCATTATTTCCAAAGTCTTTTGCAGACATGTAACACATTCTGTCAGCCTGTAATATGAAGTTAATATATCTTGTGTTATTTGGGATGCATATATTCATATATGCATATATTACTATAAGAGCTCAGTTGGTAGAAATTTTCATACACTTAAATAGGTATAAACCCAAAATATAAAAAGAGGCTAACTAAGAGACATTTATCACAGCTGTGCAAAGGAAGGAACAAGCTATTCTGTCAAGGATTTCAGTATTTTGAATCTGCTTTATTCACTGTTCAGAATTAAACCATCATTTTGTAATTTTGTGTGAAGTGGCCAATCTCAGCAGTGACCAACATATTGGGAAGTCTGGGGAGAGGTATAAATCAAGAGACTTTGAGTTAGCCTATCTGGTTGTGAGATGCAGATGACCCAATTATAACCAAACTATAGCCCTTGGGGGATACTATTGACTCAAAAAATACAGTGCAGGAAATTATGAAAATTTCTGATTTCAGGTTACTTTTGTAGACCTCTCCATGCCCCATTATTTCTTGGGCTCAAATCCTAATATCTCTGTTGTATTGGGAATACCTTCTTTTCATGCACTGAGTTATAGTACTTGTATCTGTTACCCTGATGAAACCTCTGCTATTCGTGCATTTGGAATATTTACAGTGAGGTAATGTGTTGCAGAACCTGCATCAGTATAGTTACTGCGAGCCAATGCACAGACTTTATTCTTTTTCACCAATCAGGCAAGAAAAGACACCTCTGGTAAGTAAAAAGCTTAACTATGGATGAGGACAATTTAGCCATGACTGCCCTCAGCTGCATTTTCAGAGTGGGCCTGCAACAGGGGCCTGCAACAGGGAACACAGAAAATATCACAAATGGACTGCAGTAGCTGTGAACAAAACCAGCCCAAGTTTCACCAGCATTTTTAATCCACTCTAAGGTGCAAGGTGTTCTGTGTATGAATGAAATAGTTCTAAGTAGTCTTTAGCCATCATTTTCTGCACCCACAGTCTCACCGCACAAGGCATTGGCATGAAGATTGGTGTGCATTTTATAAATTTCATCAGTGGAATAGGATTTGCCCTGTCCCAACACCCTGTCCCAACACAGGTCAGTGTGATTCCCATTAAGTCCTTTTGCACAGATAATTCTGAATACCTGTTCTGTAAAGAAAAGAAGCATTTGTATTTTTTAAATATAAATATTTCATTCATTAGTCAACTTCTCCTTTAAACATCAAAGCTGCAGCATCAGATTCACCTGTTGTCTGCATAAGGATACAGCACAGCTTGATGCCCTAGGTTCTGAAACCAGTCTCCCTGTTCTAGAAGGGATTTGCATCTTGAGGAAGGGAGCCTACCATTCATCACTGGAACTTCAACACAAAACTGAATTGTGACAGACCCCTACTCTCAAATACACCCATAGTACCAACTACACTGCCTCATTCATATATGAGGCATCCAAGACCAATATTGCACTCTCTATGTTTTGTTATGTGTCTTACAATAAGAGAAAGACAACTTACATGAAGTTCAATATAATAAAAAATAGCAGCAGAAATAATTGAAAGATTTGCAGTATAGCCTATATAGTATAATTTGTAAAAAATAAATACAGACAAAATTAAGTGAAGGTGAATAAAGTGAATGGCTAAATCCCAATTAAACTTTTCTAGGATTAATTTCAACACTGGCTCTTTAACTGCTACCTATATAGTGACAATTTTAATCTGTAAAGTGATACACTCTGAAGAGAATTTTCAACTAGTTATGCTATCAAGTTTAATAAATATTAGTAAAAAAATAAATACTCATTGATTTTAAACTATACATTGACTACAGATGCATATACTAAAAAAAATTATCATTTGGCAGACATCAGAAATATCATGCTAGATCCTATTCTTACTTACTTACTTTCAATCTCCTTAATTTTCATTTCCCAGGGTATGCAGGCTGTCTTAAAATTTTCAAAATCTCTTTGAAATTTCATCCATTTCTGGAAAGAGTCACAGGAAAAAAAAAAAAAAAAAAAAAAAAAAAAAAAAAAAAAAAAAAACCAGAAACCTCAGCATCATCTCAGTGCCCAGATGCTTGGTTCTTCTTGAGCTAATGTAAGCCCTTAATCATCCACAAAATCCATTGGCAGAATCCACAAAGTAATTGTTTGTGAAGAGCCATCTCCTTTTGTTTATTTTAATGGCTTCTACTGGATTTGTGTGAAGCTCCTATTTCTACCACAAGAAGAATTATTACCTAATCACTTCCTTTCATGCCAATTTTTTCTTTTTCTTTTTCTTTTTCTTTTTCTTTTCCTTTTCATTTTTTCTCATTTTTTCTCATTTTTTCTTTCTCTTTCTCTTTCTCTTTTACAGAGGGCTGTCTCAAGGGAAAAACTGAACTTTGGATTCAGTCCACACAAATACCCAATCCACACCAAGACACATTAGCTGTCACAAGATATTGAACCCTTGCAAACTTATGTAAAACAGCTGATTTTTGTTTTGATGACAAGTTTCAAAAATCAAACCATAAGCTTTTGTTAGAAATATTTTCATGCAAGAGCAGTGAAAATAAAAGCTAAAAATCCATAGAGAGACAAGGAACACTACTGTGGAAGATGAGTACCCATGGCAATAATCTCCAGAAGTCTTCCCATCAGCTTTACAGGAAGTTAGTGAAACAATTAGTGTACCTTCATCATCATCACTTTGTATGCATAGAATTTTTTTCCTTTTCCTTTTCCAAGCGCACCTTCAAACTTCTCAACAAAAAGCTGTGCTTCCCTGGAAAATGAAGGCAAAAGAGAGATATAGATTATTTTATACTAAATTTTATATTGTCTCTATCATATTAATGTTATCTTTTTACTCCTCATAAAATCTTGTTAACTTAGTAAAATTTGAAGCTCAGCATTTTTGTATTTTGCAGAAGACTCTATATGTAATGTATATGTAATGCAAAAATACAAGCAACTTCATTCACCTGATCTGATACAAACATATTTGGAGCTCTCAGATTTGCCTATGTCCAGTCAAGGTTACCAAATATGTTTAATCACAGTAAGTCAGTAAACTGGCTTTTGCAGCTCAGCTACTGCCCATTTATGTGATGCAGAAAGAGTTATTCCTGTTATTCTGACAGCTGTTTCAAAAGAAGAAAGAAGCATCTTCATGGGACACTGTGGATCCTTGGCTGTGATCACCTTTCTTGCTTTCTGAAATCCTTTGCTTTTTCCTGCTTTTCTAATCTCTCCCTTGTTCTCCTCTTTGATAGTGAATAAAAGTCCATAACCATTTTAACTACCAACATTTTATCTCTTTTGTGTCTTAGTCATGCTCTTTGACCCTCTCCCCTCTGTTTTCTGAGCTTAGGATGCATTCCCAGGGAGAGACATGTGTACACTAGAGTTTTGGTTCCCTTTGCCCACCCTTCTCAGTACTACATTTAATTTAGCCCTTCTGAATTTCTGTATGTATTTTCTCTAGCTATACCATTCCCAGAGTAATTGCTTTCAAACAGAGCTTCACTGGTCCCCATAGGGCTAAAATTTTGCCTATAGAGATATAATTTAAATAATATAAAGATGAAAGGAAGAATTTTAAACTCTTTTTAAAATGCATAAAGTCCATGGATTAAAACAATAAAGAGATGATTTCCAGTGCATTCTAATGTTTCCTCTATTTAATCCAATTTCCATGTGTGACTTTCCACTAAGTTTCTCCTGAGAAAATATGCTCTAAAGGCTAAATGTCCTAAACCACTGGAAAACAGACTAAGGATTCTTAAGTCTCAGTGTACGCACAATGCTGTAAACTGTTTTGTTGTCACACTGTATAACTTCAAAGCACTATATATTATGTTTATTATTATTATATTGTATTGTACAAAGCATCTAGAAGAAGGTAGACTATTGGGAAAATACTAATTGTAATGCATATTGGTATTGATACACTTTTCTTTCTTTCCAGAACTACCAATAAGCTTACCAAGTGAAATTAATTATCATGCTTATATTTTCTGCTCATATATTTTATACAAGGAAGGAAAAACATAGTTTTAAACAGCAAAATCTGGCAGTGCTAATGACAGTATAGCAGTGTAGTTGAAATACAAGAGAAATACAAGAGAAATAAAATTATGTGAGAAGAAGGCCATTAGCCATGACATAACTTTTCTAATTTAATGGTTAAAAATCTCAACATCTCTAAAAGTAGCTGTGTATTTTAGAAACTGCAAATGCTTAGAGTAATCTTCAGTCTGAAGATCTATCAAAGCTTTTCACAACTTAGACATCCACTGCAACAGTTGCTTTAACTTGCAGTACCAAGGATAAGCACACATAAGTGCAAAATTGAGTTATTGAATTTAATTTTCAGTTATTGAGAGCTTTCCTTATTTGAGAGTCCTCTGAGAACTCTCCCCTTCCAAGTGCTTTCACCCAAACCCTGTTGGTGAAACATCAGGGCCAGTATAAGTTCACCTGGCCTTCTCAGGACTACTGCATGCATTTTCCCTCATTTGAAATTATGAATGCTAATCTAATCACCTTTTTTTTTTTCTCTCTATAGCAAAAGTAAAGCAAAGATTCAGATTGGAAAAGATAAAAATACACAGCCACCCCCACAGCCACAGAGCCCACCTATTGATCACATCAAACATGTTTCTTGACGATCAAGTCAGTATACTTTTGAGAGTGTCGATCCTTTATTTCCAATCCTGTTCTTCTAGATCACATTTGTATTCTGGATTGTTAAATCTGATCTTTCTGTATTTACCTAGTACTGACACTGACTGAGGATTCTTTATTTTCCAAGCCACTCTGAGTCCTTTACGACATACTGCTCATATATCATTTTTTCATTTTGATTCTCAGAATAATCAATTACATTTCAGCCCTTCCAAGTGAGTAGCAGAAAACAGATTAATTCTGCTTCAGGAAACCTGTGTCCAAGGGTTGCCTTTAAACCCAAGCCTCAGGATCAGAAATCTTAATACTCTGTCAACAGATATAAGGACATCCTGACAGCAGATGGCAGCTTCCTCCTAAATTCAGTAGACAGGGCTGGAACAGTGCCATAAAAGCAGGAAGACTCAGTAAACTGCATACCTACCAATCTCTCTGGTCAGCATACTATATTCTACTATCACTTCTATCACTGCATAATTCAGGTTTGTTCATGAAAATTTTCTGAAATCAAAACCTACAGCATAGAAAACTTGTGTTTTCAGTCACTAATTATGTTATGTTGCAGAATATGAAATTTTCAAATTTTAAGTTGGGTTTTTTTTCAGAGTGAAGCAGTAAGTTAGAAATTTAAGAACATAATGTGAAAACAGCAATAAATACATTTAAAAAACCTTGATAGCATATATGAGTACTTTTTACCTCTATAGCTTTACATCAAGCTCTCCACAAACTTGTTCTGGTATAAAATAAAGCTAAGCCAAAACAGGAAGGAATTTTCCACTATCAAATTCCTAAAAAAAAAAATTATCTTAAACACCTTTTTGAATTGTTTTAAATTAATACTGTAAGATTTTCTACTAGAACTAGTTTTTCTTATCCTCATCTGCCTCCTGGACTCCTGTCAAACAATCTTTCAAGTGTTATCAGTATTTTATCTTTTTCTTCAGGACAAACCAAGAAATTGCTTTTTGGAGGTGGTGATCTGGACTATAGATCTTATGCTGTGATGCTCTTGAATGCCTTCCTGGATTCTGCTTTGCCAGTGGCTGAAATTTTGTCTCTTCTTGCACCCCATCATTCCTAAAAGTTTTATAACATATTTTCATTGATTTTGTTTTGGTTTCTCTGCATTGGATCATGGTTGCATCACAAACAACCATTTCTTACTCATTGGTTTCAAGTGCAGTGAACTGAGTTGCACAAGAAAGACTGGACCAAGAAAACTGTTGGATTCACATGTGCACAATATTTATGAAGATATTTTCATGTTTCATCATGGAAGCATGAAGCAACTTTCACTTTCACTTTCCTAGTGAATTGCTTTCCCATACTAAAAAGTCCAAATGGTGGACTTGCAGTATCATTTTCATTTTCATTTACTCTGGTCTAATAACAACGCACTTTAATTTTTTTTTTATTAATAATATTGCTGGCATTAATGCATTGATCATTAATGCACACAGATCGTGACAAGAAGATCTTTCAAACATGCATTAAAAATGGCAGCAAAAATGTTTCCAACTCTTGTGAAGTAATGGCCAAAACCATTGCATAATTAATAATCACCACATAATTAATAAAAGAGTCGCACATGCTATATGGCCAAAAGAGAGTGAAAAGAGTTAAATCCATCTGACATCCAGTTGCAGCAGTGTTCCCCAGGGCTCAGTACTGAGGACAGACCTGCTCTATTGATGGCCCAGAGGAGGGGGTCAAGGGCACCCTCAGCCAGTTTCCCTCCTCAAAGGAGGTTGTGGTGAAGAGGGAATCAGTCTTTTCTTCCAGATACAAGAAACAGGACAAGAAACAATCTCAAATGGTTTCAGAGGATGTTTAGATTGGATATATATAAGTTTCTTCACCAAAAGTTGTCAAGCATTGGAACAGGCTGCCCAGGGAAGTGGTTGAATCACCATCCCTGGAGGTTTTGAAAAACTGTGTAAATGTCATGGTGAGGGACTTGGATTAGAGATGGACTTGACAGTGCTGTCTGTGTTAATGGCTGGACTTGATGGTCATAAGGCTCTTTACCAATCTAAATTGTTTTGTATTATTGCTATGAAATTGAAAAAATACTTTTAAAAAAATAGAAATTACTTTGTAAAAGAATAGTGGAAGTATTTTTGTCTCTGTTGGAATAAAAGAAATGAAGTTACCTTTGATGTCTTACAGGCATATCTTACATTTTTGTAGTTTTACCAATAACATTCTAAATAACATTTTCATATTGCTTATGATGCTGGAGCCATCAAACAGAATACACATTCATTCTCTCCTCAGCTTTTCTCCCCCCACCAGTTCTGCAGAAGATTAGTAGAAACTAATTACTACACTGAGTACTTACTCCTGACTTCTGTTTGTAAGTTACTTAAACCTCCTGACCTTAAAAGTTCAGCATCAACTTGGCACCATTCAGTCAGGAACCAGGCTTGCCATATCCTCTCCATGTCTGTGATACATGTTCTTGTTAAATATAGCTCAACAGATTACTTAACTAAGGTTTCTACCTTGATGTGTAATACCTCTATTTGTACAACCCTGTGGATTTCTGTCAAATTTTGTCCTTTCCTCCATTTCTTTTGTGCTATAAATAACAGGAAGAATAGGCAAGTCTTAGAAATACTTTAGAAACCACAACAAAAACCAAAAGTACATGTATACATATTCATGCTCACTTGGAAGTATTGTGATTTAACAAACATGAGGATGTGTCAAAAACAACGCAGACCAACAAAACCAAGCTTTGTAATCACTGGTGTCATGTGTTAGAGGTAAACTATCTGTATCACAAGATAGGCCAAAGTGTCCCCCACTAGCTAACTGTGAATTTAAAGAAGCTTTAGAGAAAGCTTATTAATTGAATTACAGATGCAAGAACTAATAAATGTTTCAGGGGGCCAGGCATTATTGTCCCAGAGAAGCATGAGTTAATTATTAATACAAGGTGTGGAGTTACAGCTCCCAAAGTGCTAGGTGTACAGTACCTCTGGCACTTCTGTGCTGCAGAGGGGATGCATTACAGCTCTTTGAGCTTGTTGCTAATGAATACAATTTGAGTGGATTAATCACATTTTTCAGTAACAGTTCAGGAAAGTT